GGGGGGGGGATGGAGAGAGAGACACTAAAGTCAGCGGGGCACGGAGACAGGGGCGCAGGCAATCGCACCTCGGGCCGTGGCGGGTCTGGCGGGCCACGGTGCGGCAGTTTGCTCAGGGTTAACGATATTTGAGTGTCGTGGACCTCTGGCTGTTGCGTCAAGGAGGGGAGGGGAGGGCCGCGCAAACACGCCCCGCACTGTAAAAACAATCGTCACCTTGGATTCGTTCGTTCGTCACTCGGTCACTTCTATTTACCAGAATATTAGGGGAACGGTGAGGAGGGGTTTGGCAAGGGTTTGAGGGGGTTTCTCAGGTGAAGTGGGTGTAAATAAAAAAAAATATAAAAAAAAACAAACTAGCGAACACCTTAAAGTTACTTATATATTCTTTATGTTCAGTCAACAGTTTTTAAAGATATCATCTGCTAAAAATAAAAATAGTCTTGATGTACTTATTTGTAAGGCAATTTTTGTTGCCGGTGTAGTCGCCGCACTACTCCAGCTCGCCCTGCGTTCTTTCCACACAGCAGCCAAAGCGAATGAATGATGGCCGAACACTCATCGGTCAGCCGCGCGAGCGCAAACTGCTTGAAGGGGGCAGACCGGGCGTGGGGTGGCGTGGCGTGACGGGGTGTAGCGTGACGGCGTGACCGGGTGGCGGCTGGCGGCCAGAGACCAGGGCCTGGCCGCAAGTTGAGGAAAACCGCGCAACAGTGAGGAGCCCGCCGCGGTAACCACGGGATCCGGACGTTAAGCCGCGGGACTCGTGAATCACTCCGTCAGGAAAGCCAGCAGGCGCGACGCAAATTTCAAAGCACAAATGATGGCACCTCTTCGTGTTCCAGAGGCTCAACTTTTCATCAGAAACGCGGGTGGAGTCGCATTCGCATTACTGTACAAGAGACGCTGAACGACGCATCATACACCGCAAGAAGAAACACGCCGTTCGACGCAGCGGCATTGAGAAACGTGGCGGCAAAGTTGGAGGGCCGAGTGCAAAACGCGCCATTTTAATTAGGTTCGTCTCCCCTCTAATCTACCTGGAGACTTTGAGAAAACGCGGCGCGGATTTGTGACAACAAGCAGCAAGGTTATTCTCGATGGTTGCAATAAGCAAGAGCGCGCGCGTCCCCTGCCCTTAACTCTGCACCGCGAAAAAACAAAATAAGGAAAGAAAATAAAAAAAAAAGTTGTGGTGATAAGGCGCGTTGACACGCAGCCGCCGCTAAATCAGACAGACTGTCGCCGTGTAAAAAAGCGAACATGGCGGTGGGGAGGGGAAGGGCGGCGCAATCCCAACCCCGCGGCCGGCGTTATAGGATTAGCAAACAGACAAAATAAATAATAAACAAAAAAGGGAGAAAGAAATGATGACGAAAAAAGAAATCGTCGCGGCGGCGTGAGCAGAAAGAGAGAGGGGATAGGAGAGGGCTCGTAAAATTGTTTGGCGTAAATCCCTTTCGCGCAGGAGGGGAGGGAGGTGGGAAGGAAAGGGGGAGAGGGGGGGGGGGCGGGGGCGACTCTCCAGCCCAGCCTTGGAGGAGGGGCTGTGAAACGATTCTTACGTGGCATCCCACCGTCGTCGCTTGCTCCCGATCGTAATGAAGAATGTTATCAATTACAACCACGAGGATTGGTTTACAATACGTCTCGTAGCCAAAACGAGATGCAAGGGAGAGAGAGTTTACCGACCTCTGGCTGCACCACCCAACCTTGTCTGCCGCACTGAAAACGCAAGTGCGTGAATGACGCTCACCTGTAGGTGTGTGAATATCCATTCGTACAATTAGAGGGGAAAAAGTGTGAATTTTTTCTCGAAAATTCACACGTTTACCCTCGTAAGTGTACGCATGGATATTCACACACCTACAGGTGAGCTATATATTCACACACTTGCGTTTCCAGTGTGCTGGGTGCCGCCCATCGCGAAGCGGGATTCCGATGAACACTTATTTTCGTTTCCCTCTGCCTCGTAAGTGACGCAAGTCGTCGTCCGCTCGGTGGGACAGCTCTGACAAACCTTGGGATTGCGTGGGACGGGCCGGGAGCGAGGCGGGAGCGAGGCGGGAGCCCCTGCGGTGGCCGGGGTAGGCCGCGCGCGCGCTCGTCTGCCGCGCGGGTCTGCCTACCCGGCGACCGACAGGGGCTCCGCGGCTGATAGCGCGCTGGAGACTGGGAGCAATAGGGAGCGGACTGTCGGATACTTTGTGAGGCGATAAAGAGAAAAACGTAGCATCTCTTCCCTTGTACACTTTAGTAAGTAGTTACCTAGGCAGGAAAAAAAAGTCACGCTTTTCAAAAGTTTTGGTCTGGTTTTGATTTTCTTACCGTGTTGTGTGGCCGTGCCGTTGTTGTTGTTGGCGTGCGCCGGGTGCGGCTCGGCGTCCTGCTGGTGACTGCTGATGGCCTCGCAGCTGGGGTAGCTCACGCTGATCTTGATCTTCTCGAAGGTCCGGCTGCGCTCGACGCCGCGCCGAATCGAAGCACGTTGCACTCTGTGACGGAGAAAAAAACAGGTACTATGACGAAAAGAAGAGAGAAGGCGTGGGCGATGGGTCGCCTCCAACCTCCTTTTCTTACACGGCTGTGTGTGTGTGTGTTTGTGTGTGCGTGTGTGTGTGTGTTTGTGTTTGGTTGCGTAAGTGTGCATAGAGCTTGTGGGAGTCACACACAGAGGCAAGGAAGGAGGAGAAGAAGAAGCGGGCGATGCGGAGTTTGCGAAATGTCCATCCTTTTGTGTTTCTACTGAGCCGAGAGCCAAGCCTTTTGGCAACGTAGCCCAGGAGGGAAGTGAATCCGCGCGAAAACAATCCCAGTTCAAATAGTCGCCTCTTCTCCCCAGCCCCCTTTTTTCCTCCCCTCTTTATTCTACTATTATTTTAGACCCGGCATAAAAGGCGCCCTGGTCAGGAAAGTGGGGCCGGGCCGGAGGGCGTGCGTGGTGTCGAGAGTGCTTAGCATGCGCAGAGATTACAGAAAATTTTTACTTTCCACGCCCACGAGTAGATTAGCGCTCGTAAAATCGTTGGCACACCCTCGAGGAAAGGGTAGAGGTAGAGATGTGCGGAGAGGAAGAGGAGGAGGAGGAAAAAGAGCAGAGGAGAGTAGGAGAAGGGCGGGGAGAGGGGCTGTTTGTTGCTGAGAGGTGATTACGCCCATACTCACGTGTGAGTGCTCCAACTTTCCCCTCCCCCTTTTCCAATTCAGGCTAGCACCTAACGACGCACGGCATCGGGCCATTGGGCTGGTCGGCTCGTGGTTGACACGTGGGCGGCACGTAAAGGACATGTGGACCACGTGGACGGCGGACGGCTTTCGCACGGCAGGCATCCGTGTGCACGTAGATATTAGAGGTTTCCCGACCCCTACGTCTACAAGTGAAAGACGCTCACCTCAGACTGTCGGGCGACTTGCCCGGCGAGCCGCTGAGCGAGTTGGCGGCGCTCGAGGCCGCCGTCGTGGAGGTGGTGGAGGGCGCGGAGTGGCCCGCGCCGCCGCCGCGCTGCCGCACCGACCCGCGCCCGCGGTGGATGCGCAGCGTGAGTCGCTGCTCGTCGAAGCGGTTGCCGAACTTGCGGGAACCTTTGGTGGTACGGAAGCCCTGCAGAAAAGAGACGGGCGATGTGATGTGACGTGAAATCTTTTAGAGTCCTACTAGCGATAGACTATGTCAAAATATATTTTCCAGTGAAAAATCTTAATGTACTCAGATACAACAAAAGTTCATTAAAATAAAACTGTAACTTTTAGATCACATTTTTTTCCTTTCATTGTTTCAGTATCTGAATCTTACCTGGTTGATGGCGCGGGTCGTCTGCACGGCCGCCCGGTAGATGCGCCAGTAGAAGAAGAGCATGACGAAACAGGGGATGAAGAAGGAGCCGAAGGCCGAGTACAGGACGTATCCCGTGTCGTTGGTCAGCTCGCACACCCACGGGCAGCGGCTCCGGCCCTCGGCGCGCAGCCACGACTCGCCCCGCGGCCGCGAGCCGCCCACCCCCTCCAGCGCCTCCACGTCGGCGTGCAGCGCCAGGGCCGGCGCCAGGGCCGGCGCCAGAGCGTCCAGCTCCGGGGTCACGGCGGCGGCGGGCGCCGAGTAGTCGCTGCCCGGCCACTCGGCGGGCCACTCGGTGGGCCACTCGGCCGTCGTGGCCGCCAGCGACATCTCCAGGTCCGTCTCGTTGGTGGCGGCCAGGATGATGGCCGCCTCGGTGGTGGCGGGCCGCGGCGTGGAGCGCACCAGCCCCGGCGACCCCAGCAGCGCCGGAGGCAGCCCGCCGACGCCCCTGCCCCGGACCTGGGTGCCTCCTGCAACAGGTCGAGGAGAAGGTCGCCAGTCAGCGCGATGCGTTGCACGGCACTCCGCCCGCAGGGGACGAGTTTCGCAACAGACACCCCAATCCAGGCCAGGCAGACCCTCCCCCCCTTCTCCTCCACCAGTCCCCACCCCTCTTCCGCACAATGCCAAGGAAGGAAAAAGGCTGCAGGGCTGCAGTGCCGGGGCCAGGCCGCGGGGCGCGGGGGGTTTGAATTATGGCCGTGTCTCTGGCAGACGCGCCGCGTCGCACTCGGGTCGCCCCGGGGCCTAACGACACTGCTGCACTACCAAACGACACACTCGCACTTGAGGCGCGCGCGCGCGCGCGCAACTGGGGATGATGCATGGTGGTCTCTGGCCGCCAGGGTCTGCCCGAAAGATGTTGCCCCTAGACCTGACGCGAGGACCACCGCGGCCCCCACGACCCGGGGATGATATGTCAACAAGAAAGGGTAGCGTATGACCTTTGATTTAATCTTGAGCGTTTAAGTTTATGGGGATGATGAGCACTTTTATTTTATTTCATTTTGCGGCTACACATGAACGTTTTTAATGAAGTTACACAAGAAAATTCAGTGGCCACACAATAACAGACCCAAACTCAAAATTCTAAGCACCGTTAGACGTCGCCTCCGAGAAGAAGGGCACAAACATTTACCATACCCGCGGCAGAGGTGACTTCGCGGCGGTCACAACAATTTCCCCACCGCAGTTGTAACCCTCTTTTGTCTCCCTGTATATGACGGCGCAAACCAGGCGTGACGTTGACGGGGGCGGAGGTGACGGTGGCTGTGGTGGATGGACCACGACGAGCCTAGCAGCAGGCGCCGCAGGCAGGCCCCGGGGAAATACCGCGAAGTGACCCGCGGGGGCAGGCGGTGGGGG